ATATATATATATATATATATATTCCAATTTATCTATTAAAAAAAAAGTCTGCAAGTAAACAATTCAATACCCTTATAGGAAAGATTCAAAATTCATCACTTTCAATTTTGTAGCAATTAAAATTTCAAGTTTTAGACGAAGCCAATGTTAAAAATTCATGTATTACTATTGACACATTTTCAAATAAATCCATTGACGTACCCAACAAGAATTCTATAATGAGGGCCTCATCTAAGCCGTTAGATTAAATAGGTTAGTTTGATTGAACTGTTAAGAGATATGACCTCATCTAAGACTCTCACTATAGAATGACTCATGTGCCCAAATTCAACTGGAACATGTTCAATACACATAAGTGGGTTTTACATAATGACAGTCACATCTAAGAACTTTGCATGACCCAAGCAAGTATGGGCCACAACCAAAAGAGCTCAATCAGGTTTATTAGGCGAGGTAACCATCTAAGCTAGAGATGGGCATTTGGATCAATAAATTGGTGAAATTGGCTGAATCAAACCAATCGGTCTAGTTTGGTCCAATTTTTTCTTTTATTTTTCTGTTTTTCGGTGTTGAATCAGACCAAATCAACCATTCTGGTCCAGTTTGTGACGTGAAGAACTGCAAATTGCCTATTCACCTAAACCAAACCGGTTTGCGTAAATGTTAATATATTTTAAAATTGGAGTTAGTGGGACTCAAACCCATAACCTCCAACATATATTCTCAATTCAGATGTCTTCGTCTTTTTTTCTTTTTTTTCTTTCTCTTTTTTTAATTGAGTCTTCTTCTTCAGTTCATCTCTTCTCTCTCTCTTCGTCTGCCTCTTCTATTCTCTGTCATTTTTTAGCTATGCAAATATGGAGACGATGCACACCGCCTTTATCTCGTATGTGTTCATAAAAAATCTGAACCGAACCTAACCCAAATAGTTCGTTCGGTTAACTGGTATCATCGATGTTCCGGCGCGGTGGTTCGGCATCGGTGCCAAAAAATCCTCCATCAAGGCTTTCGGTTCGGTATGTAGTTTGTGCCTAAACTCAAACCAAACCAAACCCAACCCAACCCTAATCTAAGTAGTCACTAGACTAGCAAACCATGTTTATCGTTTTTTGAAATTGAACCTCAATCTGATAAATAAGCTTCTTCCTGAAAAATATTCGAGCCACTTGTCAATCTCGCAAGCAAAATTATCTATGGGACTTATTAGGAACATCCATAATAGGTTTCAACTGTATAATTAATTAGGTCCAAATCCTATGGGTCCAATATCATCTTTTATTTGGACTTTGTGGCAAGCAACTTCCAACGGATTTAGATTCTAATCTAAATTATAAAAGTGGTAGCCCTGTGTCATAAGTGGAAGTGGAAGTAGTAGAGCTAAATTAATTGAAGTTGGGAGAGATAAGGACCTAATATTTTTACAGTCCAATCATTCAGATATATAACATAAACTAACAAAATAAAGGAAAAAAGTAGACACATTCAATCTATCTTTTATTGGATAACCCCAAATAGGAGCCGCACTATATCCTGTCCATGGATTATCTATTTCACCATTATTTAACTTGTCATACTTAAAAGGGACCCAACACCTCTTTGGGCATTAGCTTGGGGAAAAAGAAAAAGAAAAAGAAAAAGGAAGGGGTGGGGGGGGGGGGCGGCCTCATCTTCATAATTAGAACGGGTTTTATATTTATCTAATTTTTTGCAAAAATAATAATATATTTAAAGGATAAATAGTCCGAACGTCACTGAATAGAAGCAGCTCGTAGAAAGTAATTTATTGGTTGCTGTTGTTCCAAGTGCTAATGTGAGCTGACATAATTAGTAAATGTTGCTAAGTCATATTGCACCCAGTCAAAAGTTTTTACGAGGGTTTCTGTAATTAGCTTTATAAGCACCCGTGCTTAACAGCATGATTACGAAACAGAAACAATTAGCCCTAAGGTGACGATAAAATAATGCAAGAAAGTCTACAGTAAATAGGGCAAACGAAGCAAAGTAAACTAGACATAGACAGTATAAAAAAAAAGTATCTTAATGGGGTAAAAGCTAGTGTATATCATGTTCATATTTCCTTGTTCTTTATGTAGCTGGCTAGATAGCCATCAAATCAAATTCTATCCCCTTCGTTTTCAACATTTAAGGGATTAAATAGTTGCCTCGACCATACGTGACTCTATGTAGTCTGATCATAATCAATCATCTCGACGACCTGGCTAGCTGGCAAGGCAAACAAATGATATTGATCAATTTCGATGAAATACTTATCCTTTTATTCCAGAGTAGCAATCATTGAAATTATGGGAGACAAGACTAGTTAGTTTACATGTAAATTTCTAGTTAAGAGTGAAAAAAACAGTGAATTCTAAAGGAAAATTTTCTACGCGAATAAATATGTATTTACCTTTTTTCAGACATGTACTTAGTCAAGTTGCTAGATAGAGTGAATGTGCTCCTTATTTTGCACCTGAGTTTGAATTCACATTCCCATAATTTAGATTAAATTAAAGTAAAATATCGCTTGTATTATAAATATATATATATAGTGTTAAAAATATTATATTTTCATACCACATTAAGTGACATAAAACGGTTGATGTGTATGATCAATCGTGTTATGACTAGTAGCTATTATAGATTGGCACATGATGTGATCTGTTATGACAGGAAACAAGATTTTTATTGCAGGAATTAATAGAGTCGTATTTGAGTGTAATTAGGCTTAATTAATTTTCTCGTACTCAACCCAATGTAATCTTATATATTTGCTGCCACAAGGAGAAGCATTGATATCGGAAAATTCCTCAATTTAATTCTTTTTCCATTTTTATATACCATCAAAACATATGTACTTCATGATAAGCATAAGTATTTGGACTAGATTCATGGATCAAGTTATGTAACTATGTGTTTGTTTTTTTAGAAAAAATAATAGTAGGATGATGATTCGAATTTGGAATATCATTCAACATTAAAAATATCACAAAACGAAGTGCTGGTTGGTGTTGTAGTGGTTAATAATAATTTGTTTTTATAAAGCCTACTTAGCAGCAGTAATGTCTTCATTAATCATCATACACTACCACTTAGATTATGGCTAGAAACAGTCATATATCTTGATTAATCATCATGCACTAGCACTCACTTTGCTGGTTTTGCTCAAAACCCAATTTGCCTTTCTCTTTTTAATTCAACAACTCGCACTTTCTTCTTCCCTAAACGACGCTCAATCCAAACTCCTTTGCCTCTTTTTTTTTCTTTTTCATCCATGATATTATTGCATGTGCTTTTTCAAAACCAAGGGCCCCAACATTTCTTCCCCTCCAAGACCTCCCGAAAATGAAGTTAACACAAACCAAAACGCAGTCCCTTTCCGTACTGAATCACACCATAGAGTACTCATAAAGCGTACGAGCACTTCTCCACTATCATACATACCAACCCCACTCACACAAATCATCTAATCTCATCTCCTTTAAAATAAATTTCCAAAGCAAAACACTTGCCTATATATATAAAACTCTCCTCATAAATTATCATTTCTCTCTTAATGCTTTTTCAGGTCATCAAAAAATGAGATGAGAAAGGCAGAAGAAGAAGAAAAGAAGAACAACTATGGAGAATTATGAAGCTTCAACTAGGCCTAATCTAGCTTTTCCTGTTGGTTTGGCTCTTCTTCTGTTCCTCTTGCTTAGCATCAGTGCCTTCTTCTTGTGTTGCCTCCATTGGGACAGGCTTCGAGCTCTCATTTTTTCCTCTGTGGAAGACAACCCTGCAGATCAAATTGAACCAGAGTTGGATCAGAAACCTGCACTTCCTAACATGGTACATAAATTAATTTGGAATCTTCTTTTTTTCTCTCTTTCTGATTATTTGTTTTTTTTAGATGAAGGGTTGTGATCTGATTGGTTTTTGTTTCCTTGTGTGATAGATGGCAAAGCAAAATCAGCAACAGAGCCTGCCAGTGCTGATGCCAGGGGATCAGGTGCCAAAGTTCATAGCAATTGCTTGTCCATGCGAGCCTCCAGTTAGGGAGAAGCTCACTGTGATTGTTCAGAAGCCTGCCCATTTCTGTGATGCCGCTACTGTATATATCTAGCTGGTTACTGTAATCCCCTGACTTCAAATTTGTTTTTGCACTTTTCGTAGAGTTCCCAAAAATTGAAGATTGAGAAAAGGAAAAAAAGGGTATATATATTTTTGTACAATATTATTTGTCAAGAAAATAGTGCAAGCTACATACATATATATATATATATATATATATGTTGAACATAATTCTGTATTTTTTTTTTCTGATATATAATAGCCAAAACCCTTTGGTCAGATTTCAATTTTAATCCGAAAAGAAGAAGAAGAAAAAAAGCAACAAAAAATCATCATTGTGAATTATTTGCAGCATTCGATTCATTTTAATGTATTTATCTGGAAACTCATCATTGTGCTTCAAAATCACAGCATAAGAGATTACCAACCAAACCAAGTTGGGGTGGCAGCACATTATCTCCTCCTCCATAATTGTTATGAATAATTATTACTGTCTTATCTAAACACAGCCGCATCTATATATTCTAGAATAGAATGGAATGGACAATCGTCAAGGCATTAAACCCTGGTATTAGGAGCATCTTCAACCGATATGTCAAATTGTCACATAGACATAAAAAAAAATTAAAAATTAAAGGTTAAAGTTGCTCTAACCGAGTAGTCAAATTCTACATGAATTTAAAGACTGGAAGAGATATGTCAAAAATAACATATTAAAAAGCTTGATGTCAAATATTATTTTAATATTTTTTTAGTTATGAACCCCATTATCATTTACTATCTTTTAAAACTTTATACATCATATGTACCTTATTTTCTTTTAAAAATATAATAAAATAATATGATATTTGACATATCGGGTGTAGTTAAATTTTTTTCAAAGTGTCAAACTACCACATAAGCCATCATATTCAAATTTAACATTTTGCATTTGACATTTCCAAATTTAACATTTTGCATTTGACATTTCCCTTAGAGATGCTCTAAGATATTATCTAAAATATTAGTTACTGCGGGGAAGTTCTATAACAATTCTTACAATTCCGTGTCTAAATTTTTGAGCTAGCCCTGTAGAACTTCTTCAAAGGCCCAATTTTGTTATCATGGCCCCTAATATTGATGAACAAAACTTAGAAGGAAGGTTTATTTTATTTTATTTTTAAAGCCAAATATTAGGTAGAGCAAAAAATTTCACACAGATCTCGAGTAGGCGTAAACGCTTTTGACTACTTAAACTATAGATTCCTTTCAACTTATGTAGATTTTCAGGTTAATAGGGTTTTCTTTTGAGGTTGTTTCAACAATTTTGCTCACTCTTTAGCTCATTTAATAGAGGTCTATGAGTCATTTGATGCACTGCAGGTTGACATAATTCTTAACTTATACATATGATTATTGCTATGTTTAATTTGATACAAGCGATATTAGAGAATGAGAAGTCAAACACAAGACCTCGAGCGCATTGAATAAACACTTTTAGCTACCCGAGTTACTAATCCCTTACCACATAAATGGCAATATATTACACTACTACTATTCTTGTCATCACTATATGTTGTGGTAGAAGCACTAGGGGCAAACAAGGTTCCTCACCGTTAGTGTAACTGGAATATGTCCCTGGAGTACTAGGAGAAAACAAATCCAGCATCAACAAATTAGGTTGTTTACAAAGTATTTGTCAACCTCACAACCCAAAGCCTCAAATGCACCTAATGCCTCTCACTCAATGAACAATTAATCACACTCACAACCAAATAGATAGGAATAACAAACAATGTGATTCTCTCGCATGATTCCAAATGGCGACCTCCACCCAAACAAAGATATAGTTTTCTCCCAAACCAAATGCCGACATATTTGCAAAACAAAGAGGCTTGTGGGAGGAGGACAAGACAAAACGTAAGCAAATACTTCTCAGATGACCGACTTAAAATAATCCATTTCATATTGGACCCAAACCATGTAGAAAGTCCAATAACAATCAAGCCATTATTTAACAAACGACATTTTTTATGGACAAAGCTTTTGGCCAATTATAATTTTCTGTGTTATTAGATTCAATGTGATTGTTTACACTACAACATCTCTAATATCTGTACTTTACTATGAACCACTAATCAAGAGATTATCCAGATCGATTGTCCAATTAATGACAAAGTTGAAAAAATAAATGTGTAATACATCATCTGAAACATGATGCTTACTACGTAAGAGTTCTAGAAGTGAAAAATTAAGGTAAAGTTTGTACATCGATCCAAGAACCTTGTAGCTGCCTAAGAGTTTGGAATGCTTATAAAATTTTAATTTGTACTGTTATGATCAATTTTTGTCAAAGCGACAAATTTTAATCGACAATATTTTTTAGAACGTTTTGGAGGTGCCTAAGAGTCTTGGTCAAAAAGACGTCATTTTGGACCAAACTCTCAAAAAATAAAAACTAAATGAAGCCTTACCCTCCACTCCACGGAACATGAGCAGTAAGAGGAGTCCTGGATCCACTCTACTCCATGACATTGTTTTGATTTGTTTGTTTAATTGATAATTTGATATGATTTTGATGAGATTAATTGATATTGATTTTTGTAAGATTAATTGATGATTTGACATTGCCCCTCCCCTAAAAAATTTATAAATACGTCAACTTACCCTAATATGAATACTTGGTTCCCCTCTTGCCTTGCAGAGTCCGTACATCCTATAGATATAGACCCGATGTGTCTGCATTGGCGTTAAGAGGCTAGCTTATAAGTTATATATAAAAGAACAACATTAAGACTGTTGAAAAATTAGAATAATTAAAAAATTAAAACTAAATTTTTTTAAAAAAAAACATGAAGTTGGTGCTTCCTCATTTTCATGGAAAGGAATCATTGAAAATTGTGATATGTTCATGTTGTGGCTACTGCCGGCATTATATCTTAGAAGTAGCTTTCAGAATCTCTCATACAGCACACGTGGGCTAAGCCTCTTCCGGTGGAAAAGGGTCCAGGGTCCTTGACCTAGGGCCGTCACCTTTGAACTTATTGCATGAGTCACAGGCATGTCACGTGGCTCACATTTGGTTTTCAACGGACTGCCTGCCCATTTTGAAACATGGAAACAAGTCCTTTCTTCTACCACGCCCAGAAAACTTCTCTGGACACCCAGGATTTTTCTAATGACAAATTTTATATATTTTGTCAAAATTACTAAAAAGGGCTTGATGAACTTTTTGATAAGGTTCTCAATTTCCCTACACACCCAAGCATGGGATGGTGTCGCTAGCCACAAGGTGCCACCATGATGACTCCAAAACACAATCACTAAACCGCTTCATTCTACATCAAGCACCCAAAAACCTCAAAACCATCATATCCAATATTTACCTAAATAAACACAAATATAACATAATGGGGAGCTTATGAATAATTGTAATCTTACAAGGGAATTAAAATTATTGAGTTCCCGCAACTAAATTACAAAAATCTTACTGTTTTAGTCTTATAATTGCTACATAAAAAGTTATTACTTTTGCTGGCACGAAATCTTTGCTCGTGGGGAAATACCTCGAGTGGTCATCTAAAAATGTTTGGGTTTATTTATACAACCCTTTTTGTTAAATTGGGGTAATTATGTTAGATTTATGGTAGTAGATAGATATATGAAGTGAGGGCTATGCCAACATAGTCTAGTTCAGTGAAAAATGACCTTGATTTGCTGACCAATGACCTCAGGTTTAAACCCCCATGTCACCTTAATATTCTATGTATGTGTGTGAGAGACCCCCTCCTCTCCCCTATAGTTAAGACTATCATTTGTACTAAAAAATAATAAATAAATAAAGTGAGGGCTATTTTAGAGATATTGTAAAGTCACTCCCATAAGAAAAAGAAACTAATGTGTTGTTGAGTTGGATCAGTCCAAGTGTGCTGGAAAACGATTATATCTAGTTTGCAGGCCCACGAGGCCTCCTGAGAATCTCATTTGTCAAAGCGGTTTCATTGCTTTGCACCAAACTGGGACCATCGCTTGTGGCCGGAGATCGGCTGTGCACCATGTAAATGGCAGCATCCCGCAATATCCGTCCAGAAAATGATGTCTGATGCACTTTCTCATATGTTCTATTTATTTTACTTGCAATTACAATTGCACATATATATTTTTTTACTTTTTCTTTTCCTATTTATTACCCTCATTCTTTTTATCAATGAAGACTGTGAATTTCATTTTGAGAAGTCTTTTAATATTGAAAAAAGAAGCATCACTTAACTAATACATAAAGATCATCCCTATCACTAAAGGTATAGTTAGAATAACAACCGTTTTATTTCCTTTCAATTTCTTACAAATATAACCATTGTGTATATCTATCTATATATATAAAGCAAAAGGCAGAGAATGGTGAAACATTCAAAATACCAGAAAATGTCCATGGTTAATGCAAATATTAAGAATTGAAATTATTAATTAAGTGAGGATAATATGGTAAATTTACACTTTTTCATATTAAAAAAATTTAAAATTAAAAGAAAAATTAGATAATGGATCCTCTTTTTATGAAACACAACTACCCATCATCTTTTTTAATTTTAAAATAAATTTAATTTTTTCTTTTAAAAAGCCTCTCACAGATGCGGAAGCACATGCAGAGAGGCTAGTATAATAATATGATTCATTTAAATTGTATTTTCATAAGACACTTATGAATATATATATATATGAATGCTATAAACTAAATGGAGCATGCCTTTATAATGGTAAGGATTATGGTTGGCATTTTAGACCAAAAATTTGAGAAACCGCAAATATCAATTGAGGTTTTACCGCATTTAAATCGATCTATCACGAAAACTGACCATAACATGCTGTTTATAAAATCATATTGCGGTTGCAGTTGTAGTTCCACACATCCAATAAAGCGGTATACTACAAACCTCAATATAATTTAATTAATTACTAGCCTCTTCGCACGCGCTTTCGCGCCTGCAAGAGACTTTTTTTAAAAAAATTTAAATTTATTTTAGAATTAAAAAAGATAATGGGTGGTTGTGTTCCATAAAAAGAGGATCCATTATTTGATTTTTCTTTTAATTTTAAATTTTTTTAATATGAAAAAGTGTGAATTTACC